ACTATTGAAGCTGGGACTCATAAGGAACCTGGATTGTACCAGGAAATACCTCTACTATTTCTCTCTTTTGGAAAATCTCCATTTTCAAATGTCTCCTTCCTTCTCAGCCTTTAAGTTTTAGCTTAAACAAAACAAACAACAACAAACAAAACAAAAACAAACAAACAAAACAAAACTCACTGCCATAGAGTTGATTTCCACTCACAGCAACCCCCGCTGGGTTTCCACGTTTGTAAATCGTTTCAGAAACAGACAGCTTCATCTTTCTTCTGTGGAGCACCTTGTGTGTTCAAACCACTGACCTTTTGGTTAGCAGCCAAAATGCTTGAAGAACTATATCACCAGACCTTCTAAATGACAATAATTCACAGGGACTATCTTCTGTCATCCAAATGAAGATAGCCCCTTTTATATGACCTGGGGCCACAATGTCCCTTTATTGTCTTTGCATTTCATTTATAGCAGTAATTCCTTTATGTATTTATTTATTTACTCATTTTGGTCTAGGAGTTCTGGTGATGTAGTGGTTAAGGCAGTTATTTGGCTGCTAACCAAAAAGTCAGTGGTTTGAATTCACCAGGTGCTCCACAGGAGAAAGATGAGGCAGTCTGCTTCCATAAAGATTACAGCATTGGAAACCCTATGGAGCAGTTCTACTCTGTCCTAAAGGGTTGCTCTGAGTTGGAATCAACTCAATGGCAGTGGGTTGTTTTTGTCTATATCTCCTTTTAGGTTATAAACTCTGAGACAGCAGAGACCTTGTCTGCCTTATACATTGGCTATGACTAACTTAGAGCATGTGCCTAATAAACTTTTTGGAAAGAAAATGGATTAAAGTTATACAGAAAAATAAAATTTCTACCAAAATAAACCCTGGAGAAAATAGGGAAGTAAAAGGGTATGTGAATTCCAGAAACAAAATCAACAAACAAACAAACAAATGAGAGAAACTCCAGGGAAGAAAAAGACTTTGGGCAATTTTCTTAACTTCTCTGTGCCTCTGTTGTCTTGTCTATAAGATAATTGTGCTATGTACCTGATGGCATCTCTGTGAGGTTCAAATATGATGATGCATGTCAAGTGCTTGGCGAGTGGCTCAATGAATGATTGGTGTAACGCTGAAATTTCATCCTCACCCTTTCACCTCTGTTGTCCTAGGACAATCATGGCAGAAGTGAAGATGCTCTTTGGGTATGAGATCAAAGGCCTGCTGGAGTGAGCATTTAATGAAAACAACTATACTTGGGCATTCCCCCCTCACCTTCCACTCTTCAAACACCCACAGTTAGTGGATATAGAGTTTAGAAGACTGTCCCTTCACCATGCTGCTTTATGTAAGCTTTTAACCCTAAAATCATAAGCAAAGGATATGCCTGATAAAGCATTAATAACCAGGTATCGATCAGCAGTGGTGGTTTGGCATCTTGCCTACTGCCTTCTTCAAGTCATTTACATGGAGACACAAGGGCATGCTCCTGACCCTTTCCCAGTAGGAAGCCACAATAATAAAAACAGTATGGGACTGGAAAATGGACAAAATATGTACCAAAGGAACCAAATTGAGAGCTGTAAGACAGACCCAAGTTTACACTCGAACAACCTTCAATAAAAATGGAACCATTATTCAATAAGAAACTGTAAGTTGTTTATAATGGTGATGAGAAATCTGGTTCATGATGAAGAGAAATAGAAAGCTGAGTCCTGACCTAACATAATACACAATAGTGGGCCCTTGATGGACTCAATATAGTGGGCCCTTGATGCATTGAATATGTTGTTGTTGTTGTTATGTGCCGTCGAGTCGGCCCCGACTCATAGCGACCCCTCCTTGGGTTTCCGAGGCAGTATCACTACGGAAGTAGGATTGCCCAACCTTCCTTCCGAGGAGTGGCTGGTGGGTTTGAACCGCCAGCCTTCTGGTTAGCAGTCAAGTGCCTTAGCCACTATGCTACCAGAGCTCCCTAAGATTTAGTGGGCCCTTGATGCATTGAATATGTTGTTGTTGTTGTTATGTGCCGTCGAGTCGGCCCCGACTCATAGCGACCCCTCCTTGGGTTTCCGAGGCAGTATCACTACGGAAGTAGATTGCCCCATCCTCCTTCCGAGGAGTGGCTGGCGGGTTTGAACTGCCAGTCTTCTGGTTAGCAGTCAAGTGCCTTAGCCACTATGCTACCAGAGCTCCCATTAATAGGATATTAAGTGGAAAAAAGTATGCATGGGAGCTCTGGTGACATAGTGCCTAAGGCACTTGACTGCTAACCAGAAGGCTAGCAGTTCAAACCCACCAGCCACTCCTCGGAAGGAAGGTTGGGCAATCTACTTCCGTAGTGATACTGCCTTGGAAACCCAAGGAGGGGTCACTATGATTTGGATCCAACTCCACAGCAGTGAGTTTGGTTTTGGTATAGAGTCACTAGGAGCTCTGGTGGCATAGTGCTTAAGGCATTTGACTGCTAACCAGAGAGCTGGCAGTTCCAACCCACCAGCCACCCCTTGGAAGGAAGATTGGACAATTTACTTCGGTAGTGATATTGTGTCAGAAAGCCAAGGAGGGATTGCTATGAGTCAATTGACTGGATGGGTTTGGTTTGGTTTTTGGTGTAAGCCATTTTCAGACCTGCTTGGGAGTCAACCCTGCTCTTCAAAGAAAGGTTTATTAAGTGAGTAATAAACCTTTTCATACTGTCTTGGTGTATGTGTGGTGTCTTTGGTCTCAACATCCAAACAAAATTCACATAAGGGTCCATCCTGTGTATGCAGAATGACAACAAAATATGCACTTAGAAGGGCCCTCATGATAGGGAGGGATCCTAACGCTTCGGGTTCAGTCATTCTGGAGTATGGTCTGGTCCTTCTTGGGAAAATTAAATATATGCATATCCTATGTCCTGGCAACTTCATTCCTGTGTATTCCTGTGTATGTATTACAAAGAAATTCTTACAAAGGTCCATAAAACGATATGTATAAGTTTTATTTTTGGTGGCCGTGGCTGGGAGGTAAACTGGATGTCCATCACTGGAAGAGTGGAGATTAACTGTGGTGGAGGAAACCCACGCGGTCTTACATAGCAGTAGAAGCAACATGTTGACACAGCAGAGCAGTGTGAAAGACTTAAAAATGTAGTGTTTCATCAAAAATGTAAAATATCGAGAAAAATCTATCAACAGTAATAGTTACATATGGTAAATAATATACACCTATTAGAGAGTAATACACATTTTATAAAAATACATAGCAAATAAATGTCAAACAGTTTAGACACATGAGAGTGATGGTTTCAGAGAAAAGGAAGTGGAGCATAAGGTGGGGGAGGGGAGGAGGGAGAAACAAATGAATGAATGTTGACCATTATGTTGGTAACTGGCATTGCATTTGCTAATACTCCGGGAAGTTCTCTACTCTTATCTAGCTTTATAATAAATGTTTAACAAAGGTCAGTTATTTGCTGATTTATCAGAACTCCTACTGCTGAATTCCTTCAAGGCTGCTTAATGAACTTCTGCGCCCCCATAGACCTGAGTACTACAGCCTGAGGTTGCCTGATTCTAAGTTCTTCAAAAGTATATTTCATGAAACACAAGTTCCACAAAAGTTACAAAGATGAAAGGACTGTAGAGTCAAATGAACTTTTGAAACACCTCAAAGATCCCCATTACACTTTTGACTAAAAGTCCTGAGAAGGTTTATGGTAGAGAAGCTTGCTTAGCTTTGTCTAACTCAGGGTTTTCCTCTACTGTTGAGCAAATAAATTGTTGTTGTTGTTGTTGTTATGTGCCGTCGAGTCAGCCCCGACTCATAGCGACCCCTCCTTGGGTTTCCGAGGCAGTATCACTACGGAAGTAGGATTACCCAACCTTCCTTCCGAGGAGTGGCTGGTGGGTTTGAACTGCCAGCCGTCGAGCAAACAAATAGTTTTCCCATAATAGCTATGGGAGCTCTGGTAGCGTAGTGCCTAAAGCACTGGACTGCTAACCAGAAGGCTGGCAGTTCAAACCCACCAGCAACTCCTTGGAAGGAAGATGGGGCAATCTACTTCCGTAGTGATACTGCCTCGGAAACCCAAGGAGAGGTCACTATGAGTCGGGTCTGACTCGAGGGCACCTAACAACAACAACAACAATAATAGCTACTGTTGTTGTTAGGTGCCATTGAGTCAACTCCAACTCATAGAGACCCTATGTACAACAGAATGAAACACTTCCCAGTTGCGCGCCATCCTCACAACCTTTGCTATACTTAAGCCAATCATGGTAACCACTGGCTCAGTCCATCTTGTTGAGGGTCTTCCTCTTTTTCACTGACCCTCTACATAATGGCTATTATTAGCCCCTAACTGCTTAGGGAAAATATATGTGTTGGAGAAGCTAGCCTAATCGTCTTATTTCACAGATGAGGAAACGGAACCTCAGGGAAGGTAAGGGATCCACACGCCCATGTGAGAGGACAGAAACTAGAACTCAGATCCCAGCTCCACTGGTGGGGGGCTCTCCTCTACTTAGCAGCAGCCATTGGGGCCTGGCATAGCCTATACTGGTTCGACTTTGCTTTGTGCTCACTGGGAATAGAATAGCACACCCCAAAACCAAACCAATGAATGTCCTTGAGTGAAGATTGTTTGTGCTCTTTGAAGGAATGTAGCCAGTATTTTTTTTTTCCAGCCAGTACAATAATTATCATGGAAGGAGAGTAAAATAGCTTGCCCAATGTAAAATTGTATCTCAGACAAGCTTAGACTGACCAAAAAAAAAGCTGCACCTTGGCCGTTATGCCCTGACCCCCACCCTACCCTTGTGCCTTGGACTTGGAGAAGTCCAGTGTGAAATGGAAGCCTCTTCTATATGAAAAGTGACACTATTTCTTTTTGACAATTAAAGTCCCCTCAATCTTTTTCCTTCTTTCCTTTTTGGCTCTTCACAAGCACACCCTCATCCCCAGGTGTACAGAGCCCACCAGAAGGAATCCATGCCAACCCCAAGGAAAGGCAAAGTGTGTCTCCTACCTTCTACTTGGTAAGCTGAGGTGGCAGCTCCCCAGCCAAATCCTGCAGGAAAGGCCATGGTTTCGGAGATGGCAGAGCAAAACACTGGGCAGAATGTAACCGTGTACTTTTTCATTTCAGGAGCCAAGCAGCTGTACAAACTACTAAGTGAACTCTCACCCCAGACAGAAGTCCAAAGATGCAAACGGGCATGCAAGCAAGAAGCAGAGCCTGGTTAAAAGATCTCTGCTGGTCACAATCTCGATAAGACTCCAAGACACTGTACTCAGCCAGCAATTACATGTTTCTCTGAGCTCGGCCTAAGGAGTTCTGGTGGTAGAGTGCCTAAGGCATTTGACTGCTAATCAGAAGGTTGGCAGATCTATTCCACCAGCCACTCTACAGAAAGAAGACTGGGCAATCTCATCCCATAAAGATTTACCACCTCACAAACTCAAAGGGAGTCACTATGAGTAGGAATCGACTGGAAGGCAGAGCGCTTGGTTTTTTTTGGTTTTGAGCTCTGTCTAATTCCTAAAAGACTTGGATCAACCTGGGGGCTAGCTGAGTCCCTGCTTTGTTGGGATACCCACTCAACCGGTCTTTTCCTTTGAAATGCAATACATGGACATTGTTTTTAAAAGTCACACAATCCTGATGAAATATTCCCTCAGCTCTTTCCTCTTTTCCTAAACCCCATTCCCTAGAGGTAACCATTTTCAAGTCTTCTAGTATTTACTCCCCTGTGTGTTTGTTTGTTTGTTTTAAATAATAGGCTGATACTGCCACTTCATAATTTTTTTTTCAATTTTAGATATTTTTTCACTTCTAGGAGGAGGGGTAGGTAGTGAGTCATTAAAAAGCAGATTGGAACTCCAGGTGTTAAAAATGGGGTATTCTTGGCATTTAGTTTTCTTTACCTGTTGTTGTTGAATTGATTCCAACTCATAAAAACCCTCATAACAAGAGAACAGAGTAAAACCCACGATTGTCAGTGGATTCTCACTTATAGCAACCACAGAGAACATAGTAGAATTGCCCCCATAGGGTTTCCAAGGCTGTATATCTTTACAGAACCAGACTACCACATCTTTTTCCCATGGAACAGCAGGCTGCTAATTTCAAAGGCTGACAGATCCAAGGCTGGCAAGTAAAATGGCAGATTGCTGGCTCACAAGGTGTGAAGGTGACAATCCCAAGAGCTGCAGACAAAACGGCAGGCCACAGGTTCAAGTCCAGGAACCAGAGATGATGATGAGCCATCTGTACAGGTGAATGAGCTGAAGGTAAATGAGACGACACCTGTGACTATATATCGATTTGACAGAGGACATTTCTACATATGTAGTTATATCTGCTGCATATATATCCATGAATATAGTTGTTGTTGTTGTTGTTGTGTGCCGTCAAGTCAGACTCAACTCATAGTGACCCCTCCTTGGCTTTCTGAGGCAGTATCACTACGAAAGTAGATTGCCCCATCTGCCTTCAGAGGAGTGGCCGGTGGGTATTAATGGCCAGCCTTCTGGTTAGCAGTCAGGTACCTTAGGCACTATGCTACCAGATCTCCTATGAATATAGTAGTAGTTGTTGTTGTTGTTGTTATGTGCCACCGAGTCGGACCCGACTCATAGCGACCCCTCCTTGGGTTGCCAAGGCAGTATCACTACGGAAGTAGATTGCCCCATCTTCCTTCCGAGAAGTTGCTGGTGGGTTTGAACCACCAGCCCTCTGGTTAGCAGTCTAGTGCCTTAGGCACTATGCTACCAGAGCTCCCATGAATATAGCAGAGCATACCAAAAAAAAAAAAAAACCCACTGCCATTGAGTCTGACTCATAGTAACCTCCATTAGGTTTCCAAGGTGGTAAATCTTTGCTAAAGTAGATTGCCCTGTCTTGCTTCTGCAGAGTGGCTGGTGGGTTTGAATCACCAACATTCTGGTTAACAATCAGATGCCTAAGGTACTGTGCTACTAGAGCTCCTTAGTAGAGCACACCAAAAAAAACACCAAATTCACTGCTGTCGAGTAGATTCCGAGTCATAATGACTCCTCCTTGGGTTTCTGAGGTGGTATCTCTACAGAAGCAGATGGCCCCACCTGGTACAGGGGGCAAAATCATGAAACTTCTTAGCTATAATCAAATACCTTGAGGGAATGAGTCACTGGGCCTAGGAGCTCAAGGCCATAGTCTCAGAGGACATCAAGGTCAATTGACATAGTATAATTCTCAAAGACAATGTTCTAATCCTCCTCTGATGTCTTAAAAGGTCTCAAAAGCTGAGTGGTCATATAAGGTACAATGATTGGTCTCTCCTGTCTGAAGCAAAGAGGAGTGAAGAAAATCAAAGACATATGGAAACATTTAGTCCAAAGAACTAATGGACCATGTGAACTTCAGCCTTCTTAACCTTCAGAACAGAAGAACTAAATAGTGCCCAACTATCACTGCTAATAACTCTGAAAGGGATCACAATGGAAGGTCCTGGATAGAGTGGGCAAAACATGTTGAACAAAACGCAAAATCATGAAAAACATGAGACTTACTGGTCTGATAGAGGCTGGTGAAACCTGCAAGACTATGGCCCTCAGTTATCCTTTAAGCCTGGAACTGAAATCACCCCTGTGGTTCAACTTTTAGCCAAACAGTAGACAGTTCTATATGGTGAAAAATAACATCAGGGAGGTACATACTGTTTAGGTCAGTCAGCCATAAGAGATCAAAGGATAGTGTTTGACCAGGGATAAAGCTCAGAAGGCAGGAAGGGACAGGAAAGAAAGATAAATGGAAACAGTAAACACTGGGCGGAAGTGTGAAGAGTTTGGTCACATTGTGGGGACTACAATTAATGTCACAAAACATAATGAATAGAAATTGTTGAATGGAAAAGCAATTTGCTCTGTAAACTTTCACCCAAATCACAATAAAAAATTGAGTATAAAAAAAAAGAGAGAGAAAAAAAGAAGAAAGGAAGAAAAGTGGTAAGACTGCACTCTGTTAAAAGCAGAAAATATGTGAGACCTGGAAAAATAGGGAAGTCTCGTCAAGTTCCAGCTCTCACAGTTTCACACAACTCCCCTCTCCATTTTTCTTAGCCCTAATCCTGATGAAGAAAAGATTGCGTATAGAAAGAAATGAGGGAGAGAGGGGAAAAAAAAAGAAAAAGAAAGAGTGAAAGACATTTGAAGATGAAATAGCATCAAACAGGCAGGGAATACTATTAGTCTATTCCCTCTGTTCTTTCACGAAGGCTTGGTGGTCCAGTGCTTAATCACTTATGCTGGACTGCTAACCATAATGTGTGAACCACCCAGCCCTCCCAAGGAGAGAGATGTAGCAGTCAGCTTCCCTAAAGGTTACAGCCTTGGAAACTCTATGGGGCAGAGTAACTGTCTGATATAGGGCCACTACGAGTCGGAATTCCACTGGACTGCAATGAGTTTGGGTTTTTTGTTCTTATAATCTTTCAGCTCCAAAGCAGTCATCATCAACGGAATGAAAATATTTTTTTTTTCATTATGGAACACTAGATGGCACTATTGCAATTATTTTAGGTTTACAAGTCACTGAACCTGTTGCCTTGGAGTTCATTCTAAGTCATAGAGACCCTGTAGAACAGAGTAGAACTGCCCCATAGGGTTTGCAAGATAGTAATCTTTAAGGAAGCAAACTGCCACATCTTTCTTCCAAAGGACGTTTTGTGGGTTCAAACTGGCTACCTTTCAGTTAGCAGCCAAGCACTTTACCATTGTGCAACCAAGGCTTCTGTACTGTATGCAATAATGTTAAATTTACTTATCCCACCAATGGCTGCCTATCCCAGGAATCCTCAGCCCATTGCTGCATCTCTCTTAACAATTCTTCAGAAAGAACAATCTACAATCTTAATACTCCACCACCTCTGAAGTTACTTGACCAAAAATGGCTGGATTTCCAATTCCTCAGCTCAGATGGAATTCTCTAGTACAAAGTTCTCAAACTTTTGGTGTCAGGACCTCATTACACTCTTGAAGCCAGCTGAGGCCCCAAGAGGGCTTTTTCTTTTGTGGGTTATATCTTTCAGTATTTACTGTAATAGAAATTAAAATTGAGTGGGTTTTATTAATTTTTATTAATATTTAAAATAGCAATAAACATGCTAACATTTCCAAAGCAATCATCATCAATGGAAAAAGGCAAAATAAATGTTTTTATAAACAGTAACCCATATAATCCCAAATAAAAATGCCTAATGAGAAGGATGGTATATTTTGCATTTTGCAAATCCCTTAGTGTCACACACATCCCAGAGAAATAGGCTTTACACACACACACACACACACACACACACACACATATATATATGCAAGATATATATATATAGGAGCTCTGGTAGCATAGTGCCTAAGGCACCAGAAGGCTGGCAGTTCAAATCCACCAGCCACTCCTTGGAAAGAAAGTTAGGCAATCTACTTTCGTAGTGATACTGCCTCGGAAACCCAAGGAGGGGTTGCTATGAGTCAGGTCCAACTTGAGGGCACATAACAAGAATGGGATATACATATCCCATTTCTGTGTTAATTGCAAAACAAATTGCTCTTAGTTATTTAATGATCTTGACCATCTTGATTGGAAATGCTGGGTTCAAATACCTTAACACTCAAAATGTTCTTCTGTACCTGTCAGAAGCAAAGTATGGTTGTAAATCAAGATTCTTCTGTCTGCAGCAAAGACACCTATGCGTTAACCAAACCTTGTTTCCTCCTCTGTTTGGGCACACAAACTACATGTGATAGATCCCTAGCAGTTATGTGTGGTTACAAGACATGTTTATAGAGGCAATGAGTGCCACTTCCAGGACAGGTGGCCAAAATCCTCCCAATAATCATCCATGTTGGTACACAGACTCCATGGAAGACCCGAGAGCCCGGATAGAAGGAACCTGACTCCTTGAATCTGCACGAAGCACAGAACCCAGTATGAGCACCACAAGCAACTCCCACTGGACTGTCCCTTGAATGTTGTTGTTGTTGTTGTTGTTGTTATGTGCCGTCGAGTCGGCCCCGACTCATAGCGACCCCTCCTTGGGTTTCCAAGGCA